ATGTTAAATTTTATTGGTTAATTTTAAATTAAAAATTAGATGTTATTTTTTAAAAGTGAAATTTTATTTTTAAAAAAATCATAATTATTACTTAATGATAACTTCTTATCTTGTGTGATAGACAAAATTATAAAAAAAAATGGAGAGGATTTTTTTTTTTAATTTTTTTTGTACAACCTTATATATTACTTAAGTATTATCTTCTTTTATGCTTTAAAATTTAAAATTTGTTTAATTTGAACTTTACGAATATAGATTAAAACTATCTTAAATACATTTTTATGTATAAATTTATATAAAAATAAAAAAAATTAATACCAATTTTAATATTTAGGACATATGAGTATTTTTTATTAGATAATTGATAAAATTAATGTTAACTTTTAATTTTATTATATATATTAATCATTAAATGATGCAATAAATGCATCCTTATTTTGTTTAGGGCACAAGATAGAAAAAATCTAAAATTTATGATATTATATGTTGCATTTATTGCACATGGGTTTAATAGTGTATTTATTACATTTTTTTCATTTATTTGTATAAAAAATTATAAAAGCAAATTTTATTTTGAACACTAATATCACGTAGAATAACTTAATTAAATGGTTGATAAATCTAAAGTTAATTTTTATTTTATCCATACAAATTATTAGTGAAAATGTATAGTAAATGTACTATTAACATGTGCCTTAATAGAAAATTAATTTTTTAACTTATATCTTAAGCTTAAGAGTGTAATTATTATACTTTTTAATGCTAATTGGCATTTAAAAATACAAAAATTATGCGCAAAAGGTTTTTGATTTGTACTATGATGTTGGTTGATAAGAAGCATTTTTATATGTTTTGATTTATTATATTATTACTATTTGTAAGAATAATATGTGATTTTTAATAGATTTTACATATTTGTCATTATTTGTGCAGAAAAAGACTTGAATGCATAATAATAGGCGTTGTTGGGTTTAATTGAATATCATTTAAAAGTTGAGGGACTGAATTGCAAGAAGAGGACCATTTTGGGACCTAAATTAATGAATCTTGAGTTTTGGGATCTAAGTGCTCATTGTACAAAATATGGAGGACTAAACCTGCTATTTTACCATTAAAGAAATTATAGGAGAAGGCACGACACGGGTGTGGTGTCGACATCTTAATTAAGATGTCGACACCATGTGCTCTGCATCCAAAATTTAAATTTCTTTCAAGTCCTATTTATTTCCTAATATGATTTCTTAAACTCTATAAATATTCATTTAAAAATCAGTTTAAGGGCTTTTGGGAGGAGATTAAGAGAGACAATTAAAAAAAATTCAACAATAAAAGAAGATCAAGATTTGAAATTTTATATTACCAAACTATTTTTATTTGTCTTCGAATTTTATTTTAAAATGTTGGATACTCATATTTTCATTATGAGATTATTGATTTTTTTTTCTTTAATTATAAACTGATTTAACCATCTAAGATCACATGTAGTCTGATCAATTCGATATAAAATTTTATGATTTTTATATTTTCAAGATTTATTATTTTATGTAGATTATATATTATTGTTTTTAATATTTTTTAATGATTGCCCACCATTAAAACTAATTTGGAGAGTATAATTGAGATCGAAAGAAGATTTTATGCAATAGATTTTAGTAATTTATACCATGAATTGAATGAAAACCAGAGATGGAATAACATGATTCGTGCAATATTAGTGATAAGTAAACTTAATTTTTTACGTAAATTAAGAAATTTCACAAAATATAATACATTTTTATTTATTTAAATTCACATAAAGATATAGTGGGTTAATAGATGAAAATATGTTTGGTATAACTTGAGAAAATATATTAAATAAGATAGGAAAACTCACTGCCACATAAATAATAAATACCTTGTAAAATATATTAATATGGATTCTATATTAGTTGATAATGGTGAAATCAGTTATCTTTAAATTTTAACTCTTAGTGTTACTTAAAGTTAATTTAATTTTTTTAATTAGTTTAGTTATTTAGTTTATTTAAATAATTTAATTTTAATTGTTCAAATAAAATAAAAATTAGTTAATTTTGATACTTAATTAATCTACAGCCTCTGTGAGATGATACTCTATCATCATTATTATATTACTTGAATTAACTAGTACTCTTATTAGAGTAAATTTAACTCATCATTGGTTCAACAATAAAAGGACAAATATAAATCCATAATTTTTTTTAGTTTATATTTTTATTAAAAGATATATGAATTTATTTTTGAGATATTTTTCTAAAAAAAATCAATATTACATATACTATTATTTAAAATAAAGTCAAGTGGATTTTGAGTCATTGGAGATGAAGATTTAATGAGCAAATCATTTGGTGCTAGTAAAATCACAAGTTTTGATTTTGATTTTAAACATTTTCTTAATTTTTATATTTTTATATTTTGAGGACTTTTAAAATTTTTTAAATTTAGACTTACCTAAAGAAAAAATTCAGCTTAAAGTTTTGAAAAAAGGTAAATCTATAATAGGAAGAGAAAGAATGTAAAGGGGCACAGAGAAGATAAATGAAAGAAAAGGAAGAAGACTGAGGACTCTTTCATAATTTTATAGTTTAAATTGGCCATATGAACCACCCAATGCCATATTATCACAAAAGCCATTCCTTGGAAACGGAGTAACAAGGATGTAGACGGAAAGGTGACATTTGATGATGTCATCGTTAGCAGAAGGGTCGATTTGCGGGTTTTTGTAAAGTAGAGTGGCTGATTGCACTATTTTTAAGTAGAGGGTCTGATATGCCACAACAATGCAAGTAGAGTATCTGAATTGCGCCTTCCGCCATCTTGGGAAAAGAAGAAGAAGAAAAGGTGAAAAGATAAAAAAAAAGGAGAGGAAATCGAGGGAAATTTGTTGAGGATTGTTGTGAGTTTCGGGTTAGAAGAATTAGAAGCAAAGAGGAAGTTCAAATTCGGAATTCGAAAATCACTGCCGAACTTAGGTATTTTTAGTTTCAGTGAACTTTATGTAAAACAACGCTCAGATTGTGAATTGGAATTTAAATTTTTGCTCTTAAGTCTGCTGTGTACTTGTTTGAATTTGTCGGATGTTTGCTGTGATTCTTATTTTTATCCACCTGGGTTTGTTTGCCGTGGAATCATGTTCTGACAGTGACTCCTGAACAGTGTGCGGTGACTATTTGACCAGGAGGAGTAACTTTTATCAGTATTTGAATTTATCTTTAAATTTTTTTTAAGTATTTTGTGTAACAATTTATACCTTAAAAGTATAATTTGTTTCATAAATTTATTAAAATATTATTAATTAAATAATAAAAAAAATACAATTTTCATA